GGATTTTACCGGAACCTCCCATTCCATGTAATCCAATCCCTTTCCAATGCCATTATGAGTTTATATAAAACCAAATCGTTTCATGTGCCAATTGGCCCAACATAGTGACCTTGTGCACCTACTAGTTTTTGTCCTCATTTTTCAATTTTCAATTTTCATTGACCTCCTTTATTTCTTCTGTCTCCTCCCATAAATTGTTTTTGGTGGTTGTTGACGTGGTTAGCTCAAATGTCCACAGTCAAACCGCCATCGTATCATATATAAATACCTACTGTTCAAAGTCAATCCCATTGAATATTCAACAAGAAGTAAATTAAAGAAACAGATTTGCATACAACGGAAGGAATTGAATATTGACTAATGACGAGGACTGCAATAATCCTTCTCTTTCACTTGGAGGATCCCAATGTGAAAGCGTCAAGAAGTTTCCCATCCAAGTCGAAGCTTTACCATTGTGTTCACTCAAAAGAATTTCAAATTTTGAATCAAACACCCACCTAATTAATAATAAATAATAGTTAAAAAAGCGTTATCTTGGCGTCAATAACGACGGAATATATAGGAATTGTGACATTATAAAAGGCCACCACTCGCATGTGCTCTCTACACCAATAGATCAATATTCTAAAGATGAGAGCCCTAAGAAGTCAGATGGTTGCCAAGTTGTTCGTCGTGCTTTTCATTGCTGTTCAGTTTCTGACGATCCCAACCTCCCTCGCCGACCGGCGGGACTCCTACGGGTGGCCACCTCGAAGATATTATATTCTTAAGTCATCAAGCACCACACTTGATGAGGGAGACGGAGATCCTACCTTTCCATACAAAAAGCATAACCCTTCACGCCCACCATCACCTTACTCCCCACCAACACCACCTTCACGCCCACCACCACCTCACAAGTTCCCACCGAAAAGCAAGCCACCATCGCTCCAGAATGAGTCTCAAAACTGAAGTAAATGAGCCATCAAATTAAAATATAAGCCACCGCCAAAACTCAAACTGGCTAGCTTATGATCACCGCAAGCTGTATGTATCAAAAGCTTATATGTAAGAATAAGACTATTTTTTACTCGTGATGTGTAATGCTCTTTTATATTTCAAGCACTGCGTGGCTGTACGTATACTCCCTCGGTTATAGAATTATTGTTGTTTTACCTTTAGACTTTTAGAAATTCAATGCGACATGGATTTTTCTTTTAATATCTCTCTCTCTCGCTCACCATGTGTTCTTTTCAACTACCATTCTATCCCTCACCAAGTGTTCTTTTCAACTACCATTCTATCCTCCTTTATAAGGCACTTGTATTCTAAGTATGAAAATAAAGAAATATATTAAATTGATAATTTTTTTCATATTTACCCTCATTAAAAAAGTATCAAAAATATGTTTTATATTTTCTTTCATCTATATACTTTATCTCTTTTTCAGCATTTATTAAATCAATAGGAGTAAAATTGAAAAAAGTTTATTAATTACTCTACAAATAACTTACATTTAGGAGGGTTAACATAATCTTTTATTCCTCAAGTTTGCTTTCATTTTTGTTTTAGTCCCTCAAGATTCAAACCGTAAGTTTTGGTCTCTCAATGGACAAAATAGTCTAGATATTTATTGGATTATAGGGATCAGCATTTTAAATGAAAAGAAACTTGAGCAACCAAAATCTATGATTTGAAATTTGAGAGACCAAACCCAAAATATGGGCAAATTTAAGGAACAACAGATTATGTTAACCCTATTTCGGAACAAACTTTTTGTTGACAAGTGAATTATAAATAATAACAGAGCAGTATGATTTTTTTCCATTAATCTCATTTCTCTTTCTCTCTCTATTAAGCCACAGATTAAGCTTCCTAGAGTGCTCTCTTTAGCCAATACTCCTTGTAAGTGTGTGCGAAATGGCATCGCTTTAGTCGAAACCGTAAAATTATGTTAACTGAACATAACATCAATAATTGTTGATAGTTATTAGTCACGTAGTAATGTTCATTACTTTGTTGTAGTAAGAGAAGGGTCACATGTACCTCCACGGCTAAATACAACATGTTGAATGTAAACAATCTAATTTGTGTTGTTCAATATGTTGCAATAACTTGTGGAATGAAGCATGTCCTTACCAGCTTCTCTTGTGCCATTATGGTTTTCTATGAACTAATGTTTTCTGATCCAAGAGGTAAGGCTTTTGTTGATTGCTATGCGGAGGACTTTATCTTTTTGTTTTATGTAATCTATAATTTTAATTAATTATATATATAGATGCAAATAGGTTTTGGATTGGACAAAATAACATTGTACGTTGTTAGATTTTGGATCTGGCTGAATGTATGATAAATGAGTTTTGGATCTTTGCAATTGCATTTCTGCCTTGCTACACTTGGTTCTGCGGTTGGAATGTTTCTGGTTAAATGTGTATATACCTTCAATGTAGGGAGGCGTTTTGAAAAACAACACATATGTTAGGAAAATTATGTATAAACAATGTATGGTTATATGGGAAAATGACAAATATATAAATGAATCACTTGGTGGCTATGATAAAAAAAAAACCGTCAAGTAACACGGTATACCATATAGTAACCTAACCTCCTAAAACAACTCTATAACTTCATTAATGGAAAATTTTTACTGTTCAACCATCAAACAGGCTACCCTTATTTGATAATTAAAATTTTCAAGTATAGTTTTGGAGTTTAAATGACGTATTCTTACTTGCTATTCTTAACTGTCAAATAAGACAAAAAATTGGGATAACTATAGAGTAATTTTATTTTGTATTTATATTTCATCAGTATATATTTTTCCCATTAATATATATATTGTTTGAACCCCTGGTTCCCAAACTATTTTTATCAAGGTACTAAAAACTAGACCGGACACTAAACTGATTAAGACAGTGGGTTAAGAGTTAATGGGTCAGACTGAGATTGAACCGGAATCAGACTGGTACTAATTAAAATAATATATTTTCAAATTTATGTTGGTTATTTTAAATAAAACTAAAAATAAGATATAAAAATAAATGTCAAATGATAATAAATACATAATATTTACATACAAAATAAATAATGTGACTTATTTTGTAATTATAATAATATATATAAGGACAGTCAAAGCTCAGGCATGTTTGTAAGAAACCGCATCTGAAAATAAAATGCAAAGATGATAAAGATTGCTCTTGTTCTACTAAGAGAAAATCTCACTATCGTCGATTCAGACATCTAAAGAATTCTTACTCCAGGAGAAGATCCAGAAAGCCTTTCTTGAGAAATCTGTGTTTTCCGTTGACGCCTTAAAGGTTTTTATCTGGCAAACTTATATTATTAATGTTACTTTAATCTATTTTAAATTTTATTTTTTCTCCTCCTTTTTTATTATTTCCCAGGCTTCTCACGATTTTCTATGTCTGAACCATTAATTCAAATCACATCACTGTCTCTCGTATTTCAATTGTTTTCTTTCCTTCTCGCTCTTTCTTCTTTCTCTGTTCCTTTTCCCTTTCTTTTTCATTTCAGATTCTTTTCTTCCGTTCATCATTTTCATACCTCCATAGTCCAGAGCTCCTTACCTTCGTTTCGGAGACGCTTCCAAGGTCAGAGAAAAGTGAATAGATTAAGATCAACTGACTTGTAGCTGCAAAGGATAAAAAAGGTGAACTTGCAGAGCCAGAAGAAGACGGTGAACTTTCTTTCTGTTTTCTTCTTCTTCTTCTTCTTCTCGGCGCCACAGTTGATAGTTTCTTCTCTTTCTGTTTCTTGTTTATTTTTTTAATCCACCGGGTTGGTCCGCCAAACCTAACAGGTTGTCCAGTTTATGCCCAGTTCATACTGGGTTAGGACGGTTCATAACGGTTCAAAATTTTTCCGGTTTAATTGACAAATCGGAACGGACTAGTGGCCGATTTGCCTGTTTCTGATTTGAACCAGCTGGTCTAGTTCGGTTCAGCCGGTTTCGCAAATACTGATTTTTATATATATTTTTCTCACGGTGGTTTCATTTTTTTTATTTTGAAATTTAATTTTTAGATACAGATAGGAGGATGGCAAAGACACTAGATGCTAAGTAGCTTGGAACTTTATTTTCTTTTGACTAAATCAGTGGATAATGAACAGCTGTTTAAAAAAAAAAAAATCTACATTCACGGAATTTCACCCATATGAGTTGCGGTATTCAAATGGGCTCAAAACATGTTGGAATTCGTGAAAAAAAAAAAGTCATTATCTTGGGGCCCATGCACGAATGAGCGGTAAGAGATCAATTTTGAAAATCTCTTCATAAATGGGTCAAAGGAAGTGGCTGAATTTATTAATTCCTTGGAATAGCCTATCCTACCCATCTGGTCATGTTTACAAGATAAAACAAAATTTCGTTACCCAGTTTATTAGTCGCATTATTAAATATTTAGCGTAAATATATTACTTTATGTTTAATTTATTATTGTATATATTGTTATTTTATTAAAAAATATATATATTAAATAAAGATAAAATTAAAAAGTTACTAATTTTTAAAATAAAATTAATAAGATCTAAATTTTTTCTTCATTTCAATAAAACATTTTTGAATTGAGTTATAAATAGGAGAGGAATATATACTTAGGAGCGAAATCCATTTTTTTTTAATACACGAACAGTGAAATCCATATTCAGTAAACCCCCCGCCCCCAAAAAAAAACCATCCCCTTTACAACCAATCTGTCTTTTTAATTGATTAAATAATGTTAAGCCGACAGAGAAATTTCCAGGATGGCTCACAACGGTGCCTTCCTGTTTTTTCTCGTCAACTTGTCTTCTTATTTCTCAGAAATTTGAAAATCACAGAAAGTCTTTCATTTTTGGATATCGTGTAGATTTTTCGCTTGGTTATAAAATAAAACCTTTCTCCGGTTTACAGTTTGTTAATTACCTTGCGACCATCACTCTCATCATACTATTTATTGCGAAGCATTAATCTCCTCCTGGCTCTTGAATAGAATCTGATAACAAGCCATATCCCGACCAACATGGCAAACCTTATCTTTCATTTCTGCTTCATCTTCTTCATGGTTTGTTCAGGTTTATGCCAGTCCCATTTTACTAATTCCGATAGAGGGGCGCTTCTTGCTTTCAAATCTTCTGTTAGGGATCGTTACAATAACTTGCAAAACTGGTCCAATTCGTCTTCCATATGCAATTGGTCTGGAGTAACATGTGATTCTGAGAATGAGAATGAGAGAGTTAGAATATTGAGTCTTGCACAGATGGGTCTCAAGGGAACCTTGCCCTCACAGATTGGCAATTTGTCGTTCTTAGTGAAACTTGACCTCAGCAGCAACAACTTGTATGGCAAGTTGCCAAAAGAGTTGTTTCAGCTGCAGAGGTTAGAAACTCTCAACTTGAGCTATAATGCTTTCGGTGGAGAAATCCCAAGTTCGATGGGAAACTTATTTACGCTTCAACACTTGATCCTTGGCAATAATAGCTTTGGAGGCATCATTCCTAAAAGTATATCCAATTTGTCTAGGTTGGAGACCTTGGATTTGAATTCTAATTCTCTCCAAGGATCTATTCCGTTTGATATTGGAAGACTTCAACATCTAAAAATTTTACGCCTTTCTGTAAACAAGCTTTCAGGAATTATGCCTCCATCTATTTCCAACATTTCCTCACTTGAGCGGCTCATTCTGTCTCTCAACCTCTTACAAGGTATGCCTTTTGTATAAGCTTTTATTCTATTTCAAAATTCATACTACCTCCCGTATTTAAAGTTACTAAATTATTTGATTATAAATTTGTTTTATGACATTTGTGAAATATTTACGTATATTATTATATTGTATATTAATTTATAAATGAGACAAATTGATTTAGATACTTTAAAGTAACTTGATAACTTTTTTAATCTTCTTAAATTAATCAATTATGTTTTATATTAAGAAATGGAAATGTGTCTAGTCCACCCCTCTTCTCTCTCTATATATATTATCAAATTTCGGAAAGTGTGAAATTTCTGTACCGACGTAAAAATGTATCATGTATCCATGTATTATTTAGATTTTTTTTAAAAAAAAGAAGAATTTCATATCTTCAAAAGTTGAAACATAAATTGAACAAATTTCAAGTTTCAAATTTCAGGAGTTTAGAGCGAATTTTTGAAAAGATTTTTTCAAAAAAGATTTCGCACTCATCTTCAATAATTTACTGCTACATATATAATAATTTGCAATTGTATGTCCCTAATTTTAAACACCAAGCGATATGCAACTTGGACCGAAAAGGAAAAACCTATTCATTTGCCAATAACCTTATAATCAAGAGGTTGATACTATCTTGAGTCATGAAATTTGACATTGTTTGGGTTTGGTTCCTTAAAATTTAAAACCAGTGATTATGATCTCTGAAATTGGATCTCATTTTGATCCGCCTAAAGGCTTTTTGTCTTTGGAATAGTAGTTTTGGTCCTTGAAACCTTATTTTAGGGACCAAATGAAAACCAAACTGAAGTCAAAGTTTAAGGATTAAAGATTATATTAACCCAAAAAAATTACTCATTTTGTAAGTCAATTATGTTTTACAAAACTTATGAACTTTAAAAATTCCGGCCCTAAATTGACGTTGCCTTTTTTGCTTTTCTTTTTTTTTTTTTGGTCTAAAGTTATCTGATTGGTAATTTTGAACATCGCTCAAATTATTGGATATATATCAAGAGATAACAGTAATGCATTACAAAAAATTTAATGTCTTACTCAATTTTCTTTTAATAGTAGTATTTTTTTACAACAGCTTACGGAACTAACAAAAATATTATTTTTTGTTGCCATATTTCAGGATATATTCCCATAGAAATGAATAAGCTTACAAAGCTGAAAATTATATACTTGGGAGGGAATAAGTTGACTGGCCAAATACCAAGAAGTATTGGTAACTTTATCATGCTTCAAGAGCTATCTCTTTCAAACAATAACTTACAAGGTACGCATAAGATTTTAAATCAACATAATTTGTCATTATCTTTATTTTTTTTTTTCCTTTTGATGATTTTCTCGACGCATGCATCTTTTCTGTCTTTTTTCCAACAACTATACATACATCATTAGAAGCAAATACATTGATGTTTTATCAACAAGCTCTCAACGTACTAAAAATTGAACCGGTAAATGAACCAAGTAAGATAGTGGGTTAAGGATCAATGGATCAGATTAGGGTCATGTCAGTAATAATTAAAATAATTTAATTTAATTAAAATCTATAAATATATACTTATTTTAATTATAATTTATTCTCCTTCGTTCTTTGCACATCAAGTCTTTTCTGTTTCTTCTTTTTCATGCGCAACGATCAATGTAATTGACAGGATTAGCAAATTTTTTTATCTCTCTCCTCCATTACTAGCCCTTCTCTTTCCCGTATAATAAAAGTAATAATAAATTAATAGTAATCACTTTCTTCCTTCAGTCATTTCGTCAAAACCCATTCTCAGTTCCAAACTTGCATCTTCGAATTTCTTTAAACAAGAGAGGAGCACCCCGCTAGCAAGTCTCAACTCACCCACAAACTAGAAGGAGTGCACCTTGAGGCTTAGACTTTCAGCAGCCTCCATGACTTATCCTTGGTCAGATCTGATTGGTCCCTCTTCTTTGAACTAGGCATCATCTGCCAAGAGGGAGATCTCACTACTAAAATGGAAGAGGGATTACAAGGAAGAAGCCATTTTGCATGGCAGTGGCAGGTAAGGAAAATGACGGCAAAATTCAAGGACTGAGTTTTCCTTCCCCCTTTGTTTTTTTTTTTTTAAAAAAAACCTGTAACTTACCCTAACCTAGTGGGTTACTCGGGTTAGTCCTGGGTTACTCCGGTTTAGGTCGAGTCACACCAGTTTAGTTCTTCCCTGGCTTTGTTGATCACCCGGACTGAACAAGTGGCTAGTTCACTAGTTTTTGGTCTGAATAGGCTGGCCCGGTCTAATTTTTCATTCCACATAAACTGTTAATTGAGATGGTAAGTAGTCTAATTCCCCATAAAGAGGAGAACATGAGTTTTAATTTTAAAAAGTACACTTGTTGGGAAAATTTTAACTTTAACACTCTTAACCGAACAAAGATTAGTCTTTAGTCCAAAGCAATTTGATGATAATTTGAAAGACTAATAAGTAGTATTAGAGTAATATTAGTAATAAAAAAGGCTATATAACCACCAACAAGCTATTCACCTAGTTGAGATGGTAAACAGCCTCACCTGATAAATCCTAGGAAGCACACTCGTTGGGAAAACTTTAACATTAAACGCTTCTGGTCCAATAGGAATTAATCTTAAACTCAAAGTAGATTTTGAGATACCTTGGTTTTTACACAAAAAAGAGGTTATCATCGATTTAAGTTTGAGTCCATATTCTTTGATGCCAGCCAAGTGAGATTTATTCTTATATACCATTTTTTCACAAAATAAAAGAGGTTATAACCGATTTATGTTTGAGTCGATATTTTTTAATGCCAATCCAAAGTAGCTTTAACCTTAAACGTTTCTGGCCCAATAAGAATTAGTCTTGTACTTTTTTTTTCACTCCTCGTGAGAGGCGTTTGAGTGACCCTTATTATTTTAATGAGTTTTATTCTTAGATACCCATTTGCACCCAATCAAAAGTCTTACCAGGAAGAAAATCAACAAGATCTCAACATTGAAAGTTAGAATTTTTTATGGCCAAACCTGCTGTGAGAAGCAAAATTCAGCATTTGGAAAAGAAGAGAGAGATTTTAGCGGATTGCTTCCTAAGTCTGCAAATTAGATAGTCCTTGCTTCCAAGAAAAACTTCAATTGGCTTTGATACCATATTAAGCATATCAGAACAAATGCCAATGAAATGTCATTAATAAATAAAAGAGATACATTGAACCATTTTTGGGGTATACAATTCTTCCTTGAGCATGACAAACAACTTGCTAGACCCTTGAGAGAGACCCATGTTATCCTATCTATAGAGAGAGACCCGTGTTATCCTCTCTCTAGAGAGAGTCCCTGGTTACCCTCTCTCATTATGGTGGCAATATACATCCCATCACTAACTAGGTGATTTGTAGAGCCTAACTACGTGATTTGTCTAACTAATTAACTAGCCACCTTACCATTTCATCCTTCCAACAACTTTACTCCTAAATGTAGTAGTTAGAAAATTGGTTTTGGTTGTAAGACCTTAATCCATTTTATCTTGTATATTTATTATTTTTCTCTAAACTAATTTATTTAACTTATAAATTAATATGTGTATATGCATAATCTAGTGTTAGATAGAGATATTTTAAAAAATTATGTCACACATATATTAGAATTAAATTTGATTAAATAGCGCTTATATTAAGAACATTGAGGAGTATTGTTTTACGCTACAAATTAAACTTCATAGCATTATGACTTTATTGTGTTGTCATACTGCAGGAGGTATTCCCAACGAAATTAGCAATCTTACAAATGTGAAGAATATATATCTCGATAACAACCAATTGTCTGGTCACATACCAAAAAGCATTGGAAAATTGACTACGCTTCAAGAGTTATCTCTTGCCAACAACTTCTTTGAAGGTATATATAGTTTATCAAATTGGAAGTGCTCGGCACTTTTCTTTTACTATGATATTTTTTTCCGGGGCTTTTCTGTAATATCTTATGCATGAGCGGATGTAGTGTTCTTCAATCCTATATATACAATATACAAATAACTAAATTATATAGATTAAAAAGTTAGTTTCAATTGTTTAAGGATTTGTAAAATTTATATTTAAATTTTTTTAAAAAATAATCTTATTTATGGAGAAAAAATGAACGAGAGATAAAGAATGATGTGAAAAAGAAAGTGAATGAAAAATAATTGATGCAATAATATAACTAAAAGTGAAGAATTGATTAAAATTTCCGACATCTTTTAAGTGTTTTATAAATAGAATCAAAATGATCAAAAACTTTCTCTCTCATTTGTAGGATTTATTGAAAAACTTGGTAATCTCCCCGAAATGAATTTCATAAAGTTAAATATGCTTTTTGGTCGCATAACACCAGAGATTTGAAGCTCAATAACAATACTTCAGTGGGTATATTTAGGCAAGCGGCTTCTAGCACCCCACTCTCTAATGTCTCTTATAATATCACGAGCTCTCAAGTCCCAAATGTATTTTTCTTTTTTTAATTAATAATTAAATTCGACATAAAATCAGTCATATTGATATCTTATAATAAGTATGAAGTGTTATCATTTTGAATTTTTATGATTTTTTAAAATAAATCAAAATTACAAATTTTTAAAGTATTTTTTTAAAAAAATATTCCAAAAAAAAAATTAAAACTGCATCATAAAAATGTTATTTATTTTATGTAGAATTTAATGATTCATAGGGAAAAAAATATATATTTGGAAGCTTTGCGCATTACAAAGGGTATTAGAGAGTGAGGCATTAGAGACCCCATACCCTAGTATATCCAGAGGTTGACAGCTTAGAAAAGTACAAGTGTTAATATCATTTAAAAAAAAAAATTGACTACATCATACTAACAAATAACCTAAGTGTCGCTCATTTTACTTGTAACTTTTCATGCATCATCAGCACTAAACATTGCGATTTTTATTTTTGGTTTGCAGGAATTATTCCTAATGAAATTAGAAGCCTTACAAATCTGAAAATAATGGACCTATCAGCCAATCAACTATTTGGCTACATACCAAGAGGCATTGAAAACTTGACTATGCTTCAAAATTTGAACCTTGAAAACAATAATTTAGAAGGTATATTTTCACTCTCAATATAAGTTGCTCATTATCATTTTCCGCTTACTATAGATGATATTCTATTTCTGTGCATCAGCATCATTCAGTAGTGCTTTTTCTTCTTATAGTTTGCAGCCATAATGCAAGAGATGTTCAAGGGGCGCTATGCCATTTATATGTGTATATATAGAGGGCACTCTGCTACTAACTAAGACTACTTGACTGGTTAGATTTAATCCTTTACAATAATAGAGTTGAGTTCAAAGAAAGAAGCTAGTCCCTCACAATGTGGTGATTTAAAGTTGCATTTCCATGAGGAGATGAGTCCACATTTAGTCCTTTGCAATACTTCAAACTAGCTTCTAATAAGAGAATACCTATACTTAACCAACGAAAAAATGGTGTTCATAAAAGAGTGCATAAAAAAAATAATACATGCCAGTTCAACCAAAAAAGAAAAACATGTCAATATTCTCAATTCAAATCACCACCTCCCAACAATCATAGCTTATGGCCACATACATTGATGAACAAACCGTTAGTCTTATTAGATCCACTTCAAAATAAACCAAATTAATGCAATATAGTGCATGGTCCATATCATATTCATGTTAAGGTACCTCTAAAAATTCCTAAGTAACTAAGTATGCCAAATATAAAAATTGACTTTGGAAAAAGATTGATTTTTTCCTTCACTAACTAATTGACAAGATTAATAAAGATGCAAAGAAGAGTAAAATATTTTTGGGTTTTTAGTTTATAAAAATGGTATGAGTCAAATGAAAACAAGTGACTAGAATGAGATGGTAATCCTCCAGTACAATGATTTAGACTATCATTACTTTAATTAATTTGAGAGTTAGCCAGCTTTAAAAGATTCTAAGGGCCATGCCTTAGACTCGATTCAGTCAGAGTAATTAATACCAAGCCATCTTGAGTACTAAAAATGCCATTAGCACTGTGAGAGAAAGGTAGCTCAAACTGATCTTATCAGGTTTTCTTCCTCTTAGATCACACAAACTGCTCTTTAAACCCATAAGAATCCCCTAGTGACTATTGATCTAAACGGCTAACGGAATATTGTGATATGTTGATAAACTTTTTATGCATATTGTCATGTAAAGTGACCAAAGTTCCCATGCTTGTACATTTATATTCTTTTGTGGGGTTTCTACAAAAAATTTTCTAGAATTTTATAATAAAAATAGTAAAGGATCCATAAACATTTTATATCCAACCTACTGTACGTTAAAATACATTACCTGATTTTACCCAAAAGAAAATTACATTACCGGTAAATAAAGTCTTGGTGGATAGCATTAATGACCAAGCACTCAATATTGAGTATCATAGGCACATCTAAATAGTTAGATAGTATAATTTTATTTACATTTCTATATTTACTTCATTGGTACTCCAATTATTTGTATTCCAGGCTCAATACCTTTGGAAATAGGCAATCTTCAACAACCTGAGACATTATTGTTGTCTCAAAACAAATTGAGCGAATATATTCCGTCAGAAATTTTCAACATCTCAACTTTGAAAGTCTTGTCTCTCTACGACAACTCTCTAGCAGGAAGTCTTCCATCAGATTTCGGATATGGCCTTTCTAATCTACAAGAGTTGTATTTATGGGGAAACAAACTTTCTGGAAGAATCCCAAGTACTATATCCAATGCTTCTAAGTTAACCATTCTAGAATTGGAGCAAAATAATTTTGGAGGGGTTTTACCAAGCACACTTGGTCATTTAAGATACTTAGAAGCCCTTTCGGTGCATGATAACAATTTCACCATAATAGATGATGCAAATTCTGAAACTGGCTTTTTTAGCTCGTTGTCAAAATGTAGACATTTGAAAACTCTAATTCTCTCAAAGAATCCATTGCACATGAAACTTCCCAACTCCATTGGAAACTTATCTGATTCTTTACAGATGCTGATGATCGACTTATGCGGGATTAATGGTAACATACCATCAGAAATTGGGTATCTGTCCAACTTGTTTAAGATATCTTTTGCTGGAAATGTTTTAAATGGATCAATTCCAACAACAATTAGCAACTTACAGGCTCTTCAGCATTTGAATCTTGCGGGTAATGAGTTAGATGGTTTCATTGTAGATGAGCTTTGTGATATTAGAAGGCTTGCATATTTATATCTATCTCGAAACAAGCTTTCTGGAGCAATGCCCCCTTGCTTAGGAAACCTTATATCCCTACAAGGACTTTACTTGGGCGGCAATAAGTTGAGTTCCGAGATACCTTCTTCCTTTTGGAACTTGACGGGTGTATTGGAAGTAAACCTATCTTCCAACATGTTAGTTGGAAATCTTTCATTCAAGATTAGGAACATGAAAGCTCTCATTCGATTAGACTTGTCAAGAAATAACATTTCAGGCACCATTCCATCAACCATAGGCAGCTTGCAGAATTTGCAAAATGTCTCCTTAGCAAATAACATATTGCAAGGGACGATTCCAGAATCACTTGGGAATTTGCTGAGCTTAGTAAAGCTAGACCTTTCCCAAAATAATTTGTCTGGTGAGATTCCTAAATCACTAGAGCCACTTACATCCCTTAAGTATGTTAATCTCTCTTATAACAGACTACAAGGTGAGATTCCTAGTGGTGGGGTCTTCAACGATTTGACGGCTGAATCTTTCATGATGAATAAAGCACTTTGTGGTGAGCCAAAAATGCAAGTTCCTCCATGCAGAAAAGAACAAAGAAAGAGGTCAAAGGCAAAATGGATTTTGTTGAAATACATACTACCCCTGGTTTTGTCAGCAATTTTAGTCCTTTCAGGCATTGTCCTCTTTCAGCGTAAACGAATGAATTCTAGGCATACCATAATGAAACAAGATTTATCAACTTTAGGAATGCCAAGAAGGATTTCGTATTTTGAAATTTTGGATGCAACCAACAGATTTGATGAGAGTAACTTATTAGGAAGTGGAAGTTTTGGTTCTGTATTCAAAGGAAGGCTTTCAAATGGAATAATAGTTGCTTTTAAAATATTCAATTTTGATTCAGAAGCTATGTCAAAGAGCTTTGAAGTGGAATGTGACACACTGCGTAATGTGCGTCACCGCAATTTGGTGAAGATCATTAGTAGTTGTTCCAGTGATGACTTCAAGTGTTTGATAATGGAGTTCATTCCCAATGGGAGCCTTGAAAAATGGTTATATTCTCATAACTATTGTTTGGATTTTCTGCAACGGTTAAATATAATGATAAACATCGCATCTGCTTTGGAATATATCCATCACGGCTTGTCAACACCGATAGTCCACTGTGATTTGAAACCAAGCAATATTTTGTTGGATGATGACATGGTTGCTCATGTTAGTGACTTTGGAATTGCAAAATTTTTAGATGAAGGGAAATCTAAGACACTCACAGAGACAATACCTACAATTGGTTATGTTGCCCCCGGTAATATTATCCTGCACCTTTGCTTCTTTTTTTCCCCTTCAATATGCATACTCACAAATTCTTATATGGCAAAAACTCTTGGGTTTTTACTCCTAATTTATGAGGGTGTTTTTCAGACTAAACAAGAGATACATGTTTAATTAATTTACAGCATACGCTTGTCAGATACTTCAAGAAAAATATAAGTTTTGATCTTTGAACTTTTTCCCAATTATTGATTCTGTCTTTAAACTAATTTGAAATAACTTCGAATAAGTCAATTCTCATATCTTTTTTAACTCGAACCAGCCTAATCCTTGAAATTCTTTACGGCTCAATAAACCATTAGGGCTGAATTGATTAAATTCTTATTTTGCAAGTTTTTTTTATGAGATAGTTGATTTTTTTTACACTTATTGGAATCAAATCATATGCAGAATATGGGTCTCTTGGAATTGTTTCAACAAAAGTTGATGTGTACAGCTTCGGAATAATATTAATAGAAGTATTCACAAGAAAGAGGCCAACAGAAGATATGTTTGTGGGTGGATTGGACTTGAAGAGCTGGGTAAGTGAATCAATGTCTCATTCACTAACTCAAGTCATAGATTCCAATTTATTACAAGACGATGATGAACAATATATTGCTAATATTTTGACAACTGCATCCACTATTCTTGAGTTGGCCCTGAACTGTTGTGCCAATTTTTCACAAAGGCGTTGCAATATGTCAGAGGTTGTGGTATCATTAAACAAGATCAAGGACATGTTTATTCAAACATGTTATTTAAAGAAATATTGAACCTATTTGTAATTAGTTTGTGTTATTGTCTATCTCTCATATTTAGAAAATGTTGGATGCAATACCCAGTGAGAAATTAATGAAGATACACTGAAGACAAATATATGGGCTGTAAATTTAATTTATTGTTTTCGAGGATGAGCTATAATATATGGATTATGAGCATTTTGATCAATAATTGTAGGAGTCCATATTTCTAAGGTTTCAAAGAAGGTGTTGAAGTATTTATTTAGCTCATTCAGTATTGAGGTATTTATGTTCTGTCTCACCATTCCAGTATATTTACTTCGCTAGCTCCTTTTTGAGGATGTTTCTTGATGCTACATTATGTATGGTGAGCCTAGCTGCTTGAACCATCATCTTTTTGTTTTGGCCACCTGCAATGTTATGATCAATAAATAATTAGTGAATATCGGAAACTCTGAATATTATTAGGAGTTTCTCAAGACATGGAGCGTTACACCATTTCAGCATGAAAAAATGAAATTGGAATATAAGAATGGTAGCCTCAAGTGTTACATGCCTTAGGACAAACCAACAAACTTAAGAAGCCAATCACATTATGTTTTAGATAGACCGCCTTTACTGGCCAGTTCTCACCTCAGATTCCAATTGAAGCAGTGGCTTCATCTTGTCATCAACTACTACTCGATGAATAGATGCCAACCAGTCCTTATCAAACCCAAAAGATTCCAATTTAACACATAGATCTTCATGTTCCATTATTATCGCATTTGCTGGTTCTGATTTTTAAAAAACTCTTAACATGTGAGCTGAGGTTTTGTATTGATCCCTCTGTCCCTTTATGTAAACCCCAGATTTGAAATTCATCAATGCCAATGTCTTCTTCTTTTCCTTTTTCATTCTTTCCTATCCTACCCTTATTCATTTTGTAGGAGTTGGCAAAAAAACAAAAATCATTCTAGAATTATGAATGCTGTTCTCTGTTTTTAAGCATCAAGAACAGAGCAATAACAAGAAGCGAAAACCCAGAATCCTACAAGTTATGAACCGAGAACAGTGAAGCATTCCCTATCAGAATGTGTTGATGAAGTTAAACTTATCTCCCCATTGATAATGACCCGTTCCTTTCTGCTTGAGGTATTACCATTGATTCTGCCAAATGAGCCATCTTGGTCGATAATAGAAGTTGCGATTGCAAAGGGACTGAATCTGGCCTCTTTGGGACGGAAGAAGGAGCAAAGAGAGAGGAGGAGGAGGAGGTCAAAGAAGAAGATGCCAAGATCGAGTCACTTCAATCCGAACGTGGTCATTCTGGGGATGAGCAAGCAGCTGTGCTCCGGCTTTCATTTTCTTCTTGCTCATGTTTTTCTTGTACTTCACTTTAATTGTAGTAGCCTCTCTCTTTAATACAAAAACTAAATAACTAATTTGAAAATATTTGGTTAATATAATTTTTAATCTTTTAAATTTGTTTTTATTTTGGTTTTGATCTCAAAACCTATAATTTGAGATGTGAAGGACTAAAACCAAGATGAGAACAAATTTAAATGTCAAAAGGCATATGTGAATTTCTTGATCATTGGACTGCATAAAGCAAAGGAAACTATTTACAAGATATTTATTATGTGAAGTTCTCCAATCACACATAATTATGTCTTTTTTTTAAAAAAAAAACTCATTTAGTTCTATTTATAACAACTTTAAATTAAATTATTTTTTTTAAATATGATGATTTTTTAAATTAATCCTTATTTATTATATATATCTTTAAAAAAATAATTATCTACACTATAGTAAATGAAGAACAAAATAATACATCCATATTGACAATATAATGAGATGACATAAATAGAACAAAAAAAAAAAACTTATCTATCTGCCTTATAAATAAGATCTGAAGAGTAGCATCATTTGTGATTGAAAATTTTGTCATAATATATATATATATATATATATGTATATATAAGTAATATGATGATCTAATTGTGCTCAAGACCTTCTTCGAAAACTTAAAATTAAGGAGTCCCTTTTTTTGGCCAACAGGACTTACTCAGATCATTGACCAAAAGTCCCATAATCCATATATTACAGATCATCCATATTAAAAGCATATCCATAATTTCTCACTAGGTATTTCATCCAGAAATTTCTAAACGGGATTGTGAATATAGGAATGAGTGATAGACAACAATACAAATTAATTACGAATAAGTCGATCTTAATACAATGCACGGGAGGTCTCTGCTTTGCCTATTATTTCAGCCCAAAAGATCTTTTGTGTGAGGGAGTGTTCGCACCGCAAGGGCACGGGTCGTCACGAGTAATAAAGTGATGAATAGAGTATCGTTCCCAAGAGGATTTGGTTTCAAAATCCGGTCAAGTATTGATTATCATACTTTCATTTAATTTGAGCAATACAGATATCAAGAGTGAAAAGCAACTATTTATAAAATCAGAAATTAATAAAAAGAAAAAGTGATTCTTCAATTCCAATGATTCAAAGGGACTTAGGATTATTTATCCCCCTTATATTTTAAAAGTATTCAATTAGATCCCCATTATATTTGCTTCTTAATTATAGATTATGTTAGCCAAGGACACTAAATTACCTATAAATGCTCTCTCAAGTCTTTAAATAGGTGTTTAGCTCAATTAATTCCTTAATCTCTTAATTAATTAATTAAGTTCCAATTTTAATTGCAAACCTTATGTTTAGCTCAATTAATTCCTTAATCTCATAATTAATTAATTAAGCCCCAATTTTAATTGCAAACCTTATGTGACTATGTGAAGTCAATGAGTATATCTCTATCTTATTAACAAAACCATTCATCGAACTCGCGAATTTCAAGTTCTCACACGATTATACCCAAGTTCTACACTCAACTTGGCCCTCTCAAGCATCAATCAAGTGAACCCAACGATCTCATTGGTGGCCAATCAACAAGAAGCACTCAGCATAAAGTAAAATCAATACAATCATATCATTAATTACAAATATATGGGGGAAATGAGTACTTAATCCATACAAGAGTTCAAAATAATCCCAAAATCAAAGTATTTAGCCACACATACTCAGAAAATCCATGAGAAGATAGATATAATTAGCACAAAATGGAACAAGAGTAGAGAAAGCAAGATGGAGAGGAAAAACCAAGGAAAGAAGCCCAAATCTCTTCAAAGCTCTAACTCCTAGCTCAATCTCCTCTAAGAAGCAAGCCTTAGCATAGCCAAAGACTCCCAAGAACCACCCAAAACCAAAGAATGGCAGTGAAAGTCGAGTTTTGGGGCTTAAAACCTAGAATTTTCGAGTTTAGTTGAACTGTGCGTTTTGCTGTCAGTGACTGCGCCGTGGCCAAGTTTTTCTTTGTTTCAGTTGAGCTGCAGCCAGGTCAGAGTGCGCCGTAGCTCATTTTACCTCTAGAAAATTTTGTACTTCTAGCTCAAATGAGGAGTTCTACCTATAATTTGGCCTCTATTTGTTCTTCTTTGATTATCATAATATAATTCTTAAGAAATCTTGATCTTTAATTCCTTCCAAAGTGCTTCTAAGTGACTTGAAACTTTAATTTTTATACCAAAATAACCTTACAAAAGTGACAAACTTTATAAGCTCAAAAATAACAAGGATAAATGCCAAAATATGAACAAATACATCTAAAAATGTATAAAACTTAAAAAAAAAGAAGTAATGAAATGATATGAAATTCTAGATATTAACAGGGAGCATATTGATTAACAAATTACAACATGATTGTATATCGTCTTTTACCTACCAACTTAGGCTTTTGGTTGAACTGCTCAGCACATTTTAGATGAGGGAATGCTCTAGATGTTCTCTACCCTAAGGATTATCTTGGCTTATATTTGAATTTTCTCACAATTGCAGGAGTGCAATTGTCCTAGGCACCTGTATACCTCTTGCTCTCTTTCTGGTCTGGAATGCTGTTATCCTTGGAACTGTTGGTAATAATGAAGTGGGAGTGGACCCATTAGAACAATTGAGATCCACAAATGGAATAGTTGAAGTGAGTATGTGCAAAATTTCATACATTTTTTAGCCTGGACTATAATAAAGACACCTGAAATTTTGGCATCTGATTGTTGGATTTTTGTTCCTCCCCACAACCTGATTCTGCAGCCTATAGTTGAAGCATTCTCGCTTCTTGCAATTGCAACATCTTACATCGGATTTGTTTTGGGTTTGTCAGACTTTCTTGCAGACTGTAAGTGTCACTCTCTCTCTCTCTCTGTTCTTTTTTTTTGGTTCTGTAATAATGGAGAGCTGGGAGTTTGATAATTTTGTTGTGATTATCTCTCTTTGTTTCCCTATACATATACACACACACATATATGTATCACATTTTTCAATAGCCTTGAATCTATTTCTTTGCTCCAATAGATGTCCAACAATGCTTAGGCCTTCGGGGTTGGACTTTCTGCAGGTGACATAAGATCTGAACTTTTCTTATGCAATGAAAATGTCATTTAGGCTACGAACTTGGACAAAATAGAAACCGTCTATACCTTCTACTGAAATTTCAATTTAATAGAGTTATGCTACAAATAGGATTGACCTCTTAATCTTCTGTCTATTCTTTTTAAATTAAAGAGGCAGACACTAACAACTTCAGATTACAAATAGGATCAAACCCATGACTTTGGACTATCCATGCCACTAGGCTACATTGCCTTTAGCATCATTTCTCCGTTCCAGTGCATAAGACTAATGAAAAATTATATCATTTTTCTCATGTTAATTATTTGGATTTTCAGTATTGCAATTCCCATCTGGTCAAAACAAGCCCCTGCCTTTTGTTTTAGGCTTAGTCCAACCGCTGGTACTCACATTGTTGGACCCCGAAATATTTTCCAAAGCCTTAGACTTTGCTGGAACCTATGGAGGTATATCCGTAATAAATGCCTGGGCATGTCTCAGTACTTTTGTTTGTTTTTATATTTTTTTTAGGATAATTTAAATATAATCAAAGCCATATTAATTTTGAATAGTTGATTTAGGATAACCATTCTTATGAACGGCCTTTCCCATGCATAATCAGCTCTCGCAGCCTACTTTATTTCTGTAGATGGTCTTTTATAAAAGGTTTTCAAAATCAATTTCTTAAAATTTTAGTGGTGACTCCTCTTTCTTGTTTCAACCTCAGAATTGTCTAATCACATGTTTCAAGTGGTCTTAGCAACTTTCATTAG